TAATTTGTCTAAAGTCACACAATTAATTGAACAGTGAAGCTAGAATTATGATGAAAACCACCATGGGGAGAGATACCATTGCTCCCATGTTTTAATGAGGACACTGAGGGAGAGTCAGGGGAATTGTCCGATCCACCCAGTCTTGTCTTATCTCCAACCCTTGCCCTTGACCACTATACTCGCCTTCTGTCTGAGTTGTGGGGGTCCTGGATTCTGTTCAGGTGAACAAATATTTCCTGGAAATCCACTGGGTTCTGAGTTCTGTGCTGTCTTCCGGAGATACACAATTAGCTTTTTGTTACTTTACAACTTCATATAGATGGGTCAGATCCTTTTGGTTAATTCAATGGATTTCCCTTTGGGGGTCCAGCACCCTGTGCGGTCACATGGAAGCTACTCAATATATGGAGTGTCTGTCGGTTGGTAAAATGTGGTATCAGTAAACCATGAATAAACAATTTTATTCTACCAGTATGTGGGTTTGGTTTGGCTAATGTTCAGTGATGGGCTGATGTCTTACATTAGCCTGACGGATGAACTTAAACACAACTTTTTAATATGATGTCATGTTCGGTTTTATGACCAGCACTTTCCTAGTTGTTTCCCAGCACTAAAACATTCAATATCTCAAGTACGAAGCTCTTACTGGATTGACTTCTGAAAAGCTAACATTCTATTGGGAAAAACCTGTATGACCAGAAGTCAGGATGTGTAGATGATAGTTCAGGCTCCCATAACTGATGAACCTGTGTGCCTGTTATCACGTCTCTTGATCCCTCTCAGTTTTCTCAGATGTACAATGAGGGAGTTGGACTAAGTGATGGTTAAGGTCACTTATTAAGTCCTGTAATTCATGGAGAAAACTCCTACCGTAGTGGGTCCTTTTAGCAATGTAGTGTATTCGTTTAGTTTTGACTGAAGATAGGTGATTTTATTGAGTCTTCGTTTTCTTGCCTTTTAAATGGGTTGATTATTTCTGGCATGCCTAAATTACAGGATTTCTGCAAAGGTTCAGTGATAGATCGGGGACATAGGTGCTTTGAATCGAATAACCCACTGTATGAACACAAGATGACATTATTCGTATTGAAAGTTAACGACAAAGTGTCAGGTTTCCTGCCACCCTGCCCCCACCCGCAAAGGACCAGAGTGCAGTCCTGGCGGGGCAGTTTCCTGGAGTTTATGGAGCACTTTGGAACTCCGCAGGGTCAATGGGGGCTTTGTCCCGCTGCAGGTCAGTTTCCCACGGCTGGGGTAAGGCTGCCACACTCTTTCTTCTGACACACTTTATCAAACACACCCGCCGCACAAACGGTGGTAATTCGTTAGACAAAAGTGAGGTTTCCAGTTACAATAACCTCCACTTCGTTAAAAGCCCCTCGGAATCGGAGAAAGTCTCCGTAGGCCAGAAGACAGGTCCCTGGGTCTAAAACGCCTTCATAACAGCCCGATAAACACCATCCCCCCAATTTGCACCGCACATCTAACTCTGCCTCTCTCTGGGTGCAGATATTTTTAACTCCTGCTTCTAGCTCCTCTCAGTTCCTTTAAGGAAGGGCGATTACAAGGGTCAGACACTTGGCATCCACGTAGGGGAAAACTTTGAAAGAATTCCTGAGGCTCCCCCTGGGGTAGGGCTGGCTTTCCCAAGAAGAATGGGCCCTTCAGAGCGTCTTTGCCACATAAGGGCTTGCAAGAGGCCCCGGGCACCAGTTGGCGCTGTCTTCCCCACGACAGATGGTCAGGCCTTCAATTTCAGCAAGCGATCCTCTGCCGGCTTCAGCCAGCAGGCCAAGTGACAGGGCAGCTTCGGGTGACGGGGATCTGGTGTGTGCCCGGCATAGCTTCTGTGCTAACGATGAGCTGCTGACAGGCGCCTCGCCCCAGCTCCTCCCGTAGGCAGAGGATCCCCGGCTCCCTCGACTCTCTTTCTCTCTGGCCGAGCTCTCGTCCTGTTTGCCTGTCTTTCAAAATCCACGTTGGCACCAGATGGACCCCCTCACGGTGGCTAGCAGTTGTCTGACTCGAAGATGCCAGAGGGTGTGCTGACAGCTCCTTCTAACACAATCTGAATCTGGCTGTCGGGTCCGGGCTCAAACGGCTTAAACACACACACAGGCGGCAAATACTATGGGCCCTGGGGAACCGGGAGGTTTCGAGAGTGGCGGTGACGTCTCCCCGCACGATATTCATGCTGCTAACGTCAAGATAATAATACTAATAATTCCTCGTACTTGTACAGTTTATGCATATTTAATGAGCACGGTTGTGAGGGGGGTACAATAGCTGTTGATGGTACAGTTGGCATTTGTATCAATACCTTACTACTTCTTTGGTTACTCAATGGCATAGTTAGGTTAAGAACACACCCTCCGTCCAGATTGAGAGATTCACATGTACTACTGACCTTACATGTTATTTAACTTCTCCGAGCCTCAGTTTTCTCATCTATAAAATGGGATTCATAACAGAGGTCATTTAGGAGGATTAAATGGGAAAATGTAAGGGGTAGGGTCAAAGTAGGTTTATAGAGTTTATTCTTTTATTATTATTTGTTAATTATTGTATTATTTTTCGAGTGAATAACTGTAAACCTACTCCTCCCCCTCACCCATATATGAAGTTTTTTGCACTGTGCTAAGTGTGAGGTAAGGACCTAATACATGAAGTCATTAATTACATTTGCCATCACCACGCCTGCCATGTGCCAGGCACAAGACATCATTGCGGTTAATTCTCACAATGGCCTTATAAAGTAGGGACAGCTATTATACCCAATCTTTTAAAAATATTTATCTATCTATCTATCTATCTATTTATCTTTAGAGGGGAAGGGAAGGAGAGAGGGAGAGAAACATCAATGTATAGTTGCCTCTAGTGCATCCCCTGCTGGGAACTGGCCTGCAGGGAACTGGCTTGCAACCCAGGCATGTGCCCTGACTGGGAATTGAACTGCGATCCTCTGGTTTGCAGGCCTGTGCTCAATCCACTGAGCTATACCAGCCAGGGCTATACCCAATTTTTGATTAAAAAAAAAAAAAGTCTTTCAGAGAAGCTCAGTGACTTATCCAAAGTCACACAGCAGTGCTCGTGAGCATTGGGACATGAACCCCACTCTGGGTGTTTCTAAAGGCTGTGGCTTTTCCACCACTCCACACCAGCTTTCACTTTCAGCTTAGTGGGAATCAGCCCTCTCCTGGGGTTGTGGATGGCTTCTCTATACGTGCATCTAACTAGCAGCGTGTGGAAAAGCACCCAAGCTTCACACTGCAGGTGTCTTTGGGTGTAGGCTTGAGCCCCGGCAGGATTCACTCTGTTGAGCTCAGCCACGGTCAGCAGTTTCTGGAAACCACATGGGGTTGCGAGGGCCACCTAGCGCTTGCCTTCTGAGAGCTCAGAGGAAGAGGGCGGTGCAAGGGCACTTGGGATTGAGACCACTGCCTCAGACCCCCATTCTCTCCCTAGTCTGCCCAGTGGAAAGGGACACGAGCTGAGGACTGGCCAGTTCCCCAAGGGAATTGCAGTGCTGCTCCCTGTGCTGGGGAGGGGGTGCTGGGGCCAGATTTAATCTTATGCATTTGGGCTCCCGCCATGTCCCATGGGTCGTGTGTCTCGTATGGAAGGTGGATACCCTTGGGCCTCTGCGGAGAGGTCATGGAGGCGGGGGCAAGGCCATTCAGGGGCCTGCTTTTATTGATGGGCAGCTGAATGCTGCATGATGTCAAAAGAGCCATTTCAGGAAGATGTTTACATTTTAAAATATTATACTTTTGGCTGATAAAAAGTTATTGTCTCTCTTTAAGGAGTTACTCCCATGGCATACCCTCTTGGCAGATGCCGAGGTACCAGGGTGGAGAGGGACATTTCTGGGACAGTTTAATAAGCAGGGACTGGTTAAACTCGGTGTGTCTTTGTACTCCGCTCTCATTGCCGAGGGCCCGGCGTTCTTTGGCTGATGGACTGTGCTGCCCGGAGGCCCAGGCAGCCAGGTGTGAGAGCTGTTCACGGAGTACGTGCAGCAGGGCGGGAACCACAGTCCAGCATACACCTGGAGCAGGGGAAAGGCGAAGAAGGGAAAGTTTCTCTAAGAATGTTACTGACCGGCCTTTTCAGGCATTCTGAAGGTTTTGGAAAATTTATTTGGGTGTGAATTCCACAGCCCTAAAAGTGAGAGGGAATGAAGACCTTAAAGTGGCTTTGGAAATGCCTCTTTTCCTCAAACCTGGGCGGGTGCAGAACATGCCAGTGGCCGACATGAATGCCCTAGAAGGGCACCTTTGATACCTGCTTCCTTTACCTGATAGAGTTTAACGACTGTGACATAAGACATGCCTCGAAATTATAGGGTGACCGTTTCATGTGTCATCCATAACGGGGCATTTTTACAAGTTAAAGTGGGCACTATGAATGCACTAATACAGCTGGTGGGCACTGGGACCCTTCCTGGCAAATTGGGCACCTTGGCCACCCTAGCAGGTAAAGCCCATGGATCTCACACACAGGACGTATTTGAGAAGCCAAAGGACGTTAGTCAATGTGCAAGTCTTACCTACTTCTCGTGGGTACTACTAATTAGGCTGTTTTGTTTGGGGATGGTGAGATAAAAAGTGTTTACCATCTCCTTATGCACTTTGCTGGCTCATAATCTGTGAATTTACAGGGCTTAAATTACACGTTGTTAGCGACTGTGAGTAATTGTCAGGCAATTATACCCAATTGGGACCTACCTTAAATTATGGAAAAGACTTTCCCTCTAAGTACAGACACTTCCTGGGGGGCTTAAATTTTTTGTGCGATCTTTTGGCTGTGCTGGGAGCCGTCCCTCTCAGCTTGGATGCAAAGCAATTTAAGGCTCAAGCTTCCAACAAAATATGGGTTCTAACACCATTGTGAATGTTTCAGAAAATGTGCATGGAATGGACAAACCAGACGCGACTTACTGCTTTTTCCCTTTTGTGTCAGGACTGAAATGCTAATCGTGATCATTTGTTTCTTCCTAGGTTCTTCTTGAAATTTTTTCTCAAATGTAACCAAAATTGCCTAAAGAATGCAGGAAACCCACGTGACATGCGGAGATTCCAGGTGGGTCTGTCTTGTCTTTTCTGAAGTCTCTATAATGACACGAATGTCAGGAGAAGGTAAAAAAAAAATGAAACAAAATCCATAATCCCCCCAAATAAAAGTCTTAGGCAGAAGAAGAAAGAGAGACTAGTTGTTTCCCCAGAGCAGGGAGCAGGTGAGGCTCCTGGTCCCCCAGGTAGCTGCTGTCTAGGAGCTGTTGTGTTTATTAGAGAAGAATTGGGACCACACCACCTGCGTTCGCTGGTTGAGCCTAGTGTGGCTTCCAGAATGGACTCATAGTCTTAAACTACTGCAGGTGAAGTGAAGGATGTAGAAACAATGAATTCTTTGCCTAGGCAGGGGTGTCAAACTCATTTTCACGGGGGGCCGCATCAGCCTCAAAGTTGCCTTCAAAGGGCCGAATGTGATTTTAAAACTGTGTAAATGTAACTCCTCCTTAACAGGGGCAAGGAGCTCGGTGCTGTGGCCAAGTAGCAACAAGGTGCCCGGCATGATAAAACAGGGCGGGGGGCCTAATGCAGCCCGTGGGCCCTGTGGCCTAGAGGTTTACAACTAGAAAACTGGTCAGTAAGAGCTTTGTTCTGTTTTTAGAATTCACTGCCTTCTCCCTTCCTTTCTCTCTGTTCTTCTCTTCCATGCTTGGCAATTGTTAGTAGTTGTTACCATTAAACGGGGCACATCCACACTGATGTGGGTGATAGTTCTGCTTCAGAAACGTCCTTGTTCAGTAAATGTTCTCAAGGACCCATCAGATCTGGCACCGGGTAAAGCAGGAGCGATATGCTACCTTCATGTGATGATACCTTTTCTAAAGGAAAAAGATGTGAAAACAAATGGGTTAACTTCCAAGACACAGAATGGTAGCTGGGTTTTAGTGTAGTAAAGGTGGTTAAGTTCTGGAGAGGTGCTCCTTAGACTTGAAAGTGTCAAGAATCCCCTGGGGATCTTGTTAAAATGCTTAATTGCATTCTGGGGGTTGGGCGGGGATTTCTACATTTCTAACAAGCTCCCAAGTGATGGCAACACCTTGGACCACACTTCAATAGCAAGGTTCTAGGTCCCCAGTGTTGCTCTGTGTCTAATTTTATGGCTAAGTCATTCGCATGGTCAGTGTTAATTTCCCCATCAGAGGGATGACCCATACATGCATGTCCATACGATCTGTGTGGTGCATCTTGTATGCTCTTACATAGAGTCAGTTTTAAGTGTAGATTGAGATGTATGATCTCTGAGAGGCTCCTGAAAATTTTTGACTGCACAGTCTCTGATGGAGAAAGGGAAGGAATGGGCACTGGTTTTTGAATGTCCAGATCTTAGTCTTCGAGATGATTATTTTTTAAAGGGGCGAGACTTTAATATTAGTCTCATATAAGAATAAATCCAGTGGAAAGAAGGCATTCTTTCCCAATTCTGAAGTGTTTCTCTAAAATCTTTCTGGTCTTGCCATCCTTTGTCCTCACAGAGATGAATGGGGAGAATCCCTGAACTCCTAGTTTCCCAGAATGCGTTTCACCTGGCTGGCTTCTGATCTCAAGCTGGTAGACGTGGGCACTCTCATTCCCACACAGGACTTTTTGAATTGAGTTGGAGTGAGTTTTGGGGGTGAAAACACATATGATGCCCCTGACTGTGTTGTTAAGTGTCTTGAAACATGAGGTTGAGTTTTAGTAGAAACTGTTTTGTAGCTCGCTTTGGCCTTGGTGAGCCATTATTATGTTGTCTGAGCAAGCTTGGGTTAGAATTGGTTCATCTAGGCATTAACCAGTTTGTGTCTACTGGCTTATGAATACCAGGATCAACTTTGCCATGCTTGTCAGGGAAGCAGAGAGAGAGACTTTGGTGACATTAGCAGACAAAAAAAGAGCGTTTGTGTAAGACTTCCAGAGCCTTGTTTGCTCTCACAGGACTTGTTAGTAAAAATAACTGAGAGCCTTGAATGACAGGAATGTATATGAGATGAGGAACCAACTCAATCTGTTATTTTTGAGTCTAGAAAGAACTACTTTTGCAGACAAAAGAGTTACTCTTTGTTTAGTAGAAGGGCTACTGAGATGTGGACACACGAGTTCAATTTCTGGAAAGCCTCAGTTTCCTCAACTGTACAATGGAGTACAAATGATGATTTTGCTTGTTTTACAACATATGAAAGAAAGGCAGCATTTTGCATGCATACGTAACTTGCAAATAATAAAACAAAAATGTAAGCCTTTGGAGAAAATAGCTGTGATAAAAGTTAAGTTGGGTCATTATTTCAGTATAGGGTTTTCCTATTTAGACTGATGATCCTTGGCCGCAGGGAGTAGAAGGGGTGAGAAGGGATGGAGGTGATTGGTCCTGTGACTGTAGGAAGTTTAATGGTTGTCACTGACCTGTACCACTAGATGCCAGTAAAGACACTCCACTCCCCATCCCATCCCCCTCCCCAGTTATGATAAACCAAGGTGCCTCCAGACCTTGTCAAATGTGCTCTGGGTGGGGTGGGGGTGCAAAATGGCCCCTGGTTGAGAATCCCTGGTTCAGTCCTATACTTGATGACCTCTGATAGACTCTTCTTGATGACAGCACTTCTGTCTCAGAGAGTGCACTCTTTGGGTGTGAGATCTGCCTGACAGAAGTCCATACTGTCTGACCTTCAAATGCATGTGGTTTCCCTGGACTCTGGCAGTGCACCTTCCTGTGCTTCTCCAACTGGCCCTAAAATCGGTGGATGTCTCTCATGAAGGGCAGCTACCCTGGCCACCAGAGAGTCAGTGTTTGAGTTGAGGAAGACTCAACTGTCTCTCTTTGCGTCAGCAATGGCCAATTCCTTATTGCATCTCAGGTTTAACCTGCTTTGTTCCCATCACTCACTCATTCCTCCTGGGACAGGACTGAGGGAGCCTATGGCAGAATGGATACTGACTCGTTTTGTTTTGTATCTGTGTATGCATGCACATTGCATTAATTATCATTTTATAGCACCAGCACATGGTCTTATGCATGTAGGCACATGGAATCAGAGGATGGATGGATCGCTTCCAAGAGTTCAAGCAAAACTTCAGAAATCCCTTATTCAGCCTTTCCATTTTCCCTCCAGTCTTGTTTCTTTCATGACTCTTTCCTCCTATGTTTCTCTGCATCATTTCATGCTGGTAGCTACGCCATCCTTCTTGAATCCATCTTTTTTTCCTTGGATTTGATAGCAACATTCATTCCTTCTCAGCCCCTTCCAGGGGATACTCTTGGCCTGCTCTCCTGTGAATGTTGGTGCTGCCTAAATTTCCTTTTGAGATTCAGATCTTTTTTGCACTTTCCAGGATTTCTTTAGTATCATCTCTACTCCTAGGCATTAACCAATTTGTGGCACTGAGTTCCCTTTAGGGCACTGAGTTCCCTGAGACCTGACACCCAGGTTCACACCTAGACACCAGCTGCCTGCTGGATATTTCCAGTAACTTCAGTTCACTGAGCCCCAAACTCAGTGGTCATCTTTCTTTTTCCCCTTGTGCCTCTGTCCCAAGCTAGCTTCCCTTCCTTTGCTCCCCGTCTGGTTTCATTTCTAACTGCAGTAGGTTCCGGGGCGATGACTGTTCATGTCTGTGGCTGTGTTCAGTGTGTCCGTACACATGTGTTAATGACCCATGTCCATGTGTTTATCTGGAGGTACATCTATGGACACGGACCATAATGATGATGATTACAATAAAGCTAACATTGAGTACTTATGTGAGAAAGATTATGCTAAGCATTTTACATGAGTTATCATTTTTATCTTTACAATACCCCTGTTGGGAATGTGCAAGTATGGGTTATTCCCATTTTATAGATGAGGAAACTGAGGCTTAAAGAAGTTAAGCAATTTGTCCGAAGTCAAACAGCTAGAAAGTAGTGAGGCAGTGATTGGACCCAACCAGCCTGACTCACATGTTCTCTGATGTTCTGGGGCTGGAAAGGACTTATCCCGAGTCTGTTGGCAGACACCTAGTGAGGCAGTAAGGAGGTCTTCCAACATTTGAGAGCTGTAGCAGCTACCCACAAGTGCTTGGATCTTGGGTGAGCCAAGACTGGATTTTCCAAAGAGGTGTTTGCCCTGAACACCTCTTTTTAGGTGTTAGAACCTAAAAATACCACCTGGATGAAGAACACTGGAACAGCACCCGAGTTCGCCAGTTATTGTGTATGGGGAGGAACTTGAGTCTTGGTTCTGAACAGAGCTACTTGTTAGTCAGTTTGTAGTTGTATGAACTTGAGAAAAAGAAGCTCTCACTCAGAAGACTGCTTGAGCTTCACTTGAGCTATTGAGGTTTTGGCCAGTTACTTAGGGTGAGAAAAACCCCGTACCTAGAAGGAGCCAGAGCAAAGTAGCCCTTCAGGGTAAAGCAGCATCACAGAGCACTCTGTTAAGAAATCGGACTGAAGTTCCCAGGTGTTAGGACTGAAGTGAGAGGGGAAAGAGCAGTCCCCATTGCACTATCTTGACTGATAAGAGGTGCATCGGGAAGACAGTGGTTGGAGGTGTCCTGTGAATAAGACTTACAATTTCCATGGTTTTCCTCAGAGTGTACTAATCGCTGCTGTTGCCTCTGAGGAGGGGTGAGAGCCTGTCTATTTGGCATGAGAAATTGGTTTACTCTTTACACCTCACTGTGACTTTTCCCAGTCATGCTGAAAATCTGAGACCTGGAGACATCTGATGGAAAATGCGCTCTGTCGCTTATTAGTCAGCTCTTCCCAATCGCCACGGACGCTGTTTTGCTCTCACCCCATTTTGCATGCTTGCCAGGCCAGCCTGATCTTCACGCAGCCAGGCCAGAGCGCGTCTCCTCTGAACAGCCATCAGGGGACTGTGTAGGTGACTGAGGAGGACATAGGAAAGGTGGTTGATCTCTTGACATGTAAAGACATTCTGTCAAGCAAACTCAGCCTCACAGCGGCCGAGTTTCTGGTGTGTAAACAGAGACTGCTTAATTACACAGGTCATGTCAATTAGTGTGACCTTAGCGTTTTCAAGAAATTAATCA